GAAAGCCCTGAAGATGTGTAATGTGTGGTGGGAACAGGCTCTAATCAGAACCAGCGTCTTCTCCTGGGCAGGGCTGGTGGGCCTGGCTTGCATTAAGGGGCAGCTGCTGACACAACTCTACAGGCTTGAGGTACTGCCCCGCCCCCCAGCCTAGTGACCTGATTGGCTGCTTCCCAACACACTTGAGGGGGACTTGGGTGGTGCTATTTAAAACTTACACTGAAGCATAGGACTTAGAACAGACCGTTTCTTCTTCTCTGTGACAGCTCTCAGACTCTCCTTGCTCAGGTGGGGTTTCCTCAGGGTGAAGCTTGCTTGCCCCTAAGAGTCTGACATAGATCTGACTTCTTTAGGGGTAATTTATAAAGTCAAAATGCATTTTACATCAAGGAGAAGCACCAAGTACACAGTTCTAGAGATGAAATGCTTCCAAAATGATTGCACTTGGCGATTGGACAATTGGGTCTGTCTGGGATTGTGCACTTGAACATTCTAGAAAAACTTGATAGCTGAAGGTGTTAGCATGCACATGCCCCACCGGGAGCAGAGCCATTGCCCTGTCTGTGGCTCAGTTTCTATGAACTGCAGCTCTTTCTCCCCTTCCATGAGTCCCAAGGGGAAATCGTGCTAATGATGGGGCTTTGAACAGAGGTGGGCATTTGCAGAGAACTCAGAGCAACTCTGGGCACACGTGGGAGGATGAATTTACTACTCCCTTTTCCTGACTTAACCTTGTGTTACTTTGGCCTGTTCCTCAAATAGATTCCTGAGTCAAGGATCCTAGTGCACACTTGGGTTCAGAGGCAGTCCCCAGCAGCACCAGTTGGGAAATTGGGTAGAATACAGGAACAGGAAGGATTCTCCAGAGAAACAGAATAGAGAAGTCAGAAAGAGGGAGAGAAGGGGTGAACGCAGGAATGTGGGACTGGTTGATTGATTTTAAGGGACTGGCAATTCTGCAGGACAGGCCCCTTGACTAGAGACACAGGAGAGTTGAAGGTATAGTTCAAGTCTAAAAGCAAGCTATAAATAGAATTCCTTCTTCTAGGAACTCAGATGGATATTAGGATTTTTTTCCTCATAAAAGACCTTCAACTAACTGAATGAAGCCCATCCACATAGAAGTTGATTTGCTTCATTCAAAGTCTACTGATTCAAGTGTTAATCTCATTTTTAGAATACCTTCACAGTGACATCTATATTAGTGCTTGACCATATATCTGGTTTCTGTAGCACACACATCAATTAACTTTTTTAGCAAGTCAAATAGAAGGCATGTGACTGAGCAGGCTGTGTGGGCCACTAGAACTTAATTGTGCTGGGGAACCCTGGGAGCCAGTGCTGAACATACTGCAGAGTGACAGCACCCAAGGTGCAGAGGAGCTGGCATGCCACCTGCAGAGGGCTACTCAGAACTGGCTCTCACCATTTGTCAGGTTTGGTTTCTGCTTTTGTATAAAACACTGACCAAAAGCAACTTGGGGTAAAAAGGGCTTATTTGGCTTACAGGTTGCAGCCCATCATCAAGGGAAGCCAAGGCAGGAGTTGAAGCAGAGGCCATGAAGGAACACTGCTCACTGCCCTGCTCCCCCTGGCTTGCTCGGCTATCTTTCATATACAGCCCAGACCTCCCTGCCCAGGGATAGCACCACCCACAGTAGGCTGGGCCCTCCTACATCAATTAGTAATCAAGAGAGTGCCCTGTAGACATGTCCACAGACCAATCTGAGGAAATTTCTCAATTGATATTCCCTATTCCCAGGTGTCTCTGGTTTGTGACAAGTTGAATAAGCAGCACAGCCCCGAGCCACCAGAAGGCCCTCAGTGCAGGCAAAGAGAATTGGAAGAGGCCAAGAGGATGTGGTGGAGGTAGACACCACCTGCTCTGTGTTCTTGTGTTCTTTTCCACCAGTGCTTTCTCTGAACTTATCAGCTTGCTTCTGGCTAGAGAGCTCAGTTCTGCTGTTCCTTCCATTTTTGCCCTTCCTGGGTCGGGGACACAGGCAGCTCTCATTTGTCATCTGAAATGATGGCTAGATAGGAGCCAAGAAGGAATTCTGTTTGGCAGCTGTCACCCCCACCTTGGTTTGTCTAGCCAAGGCCTCCACTTCTCCCCCAGCAGTGGACATCTCCAGCCATGATCTTGCTAAATGGGGCTTTGAAACTCATCTTATTTAAATATAACCTCTCTGGGGCTGGAGAGATGGTTCAGTGGTTAAGAGCACTGGCTGCTCTTGCAGAAGACCTAGGTTCAAATCCCAGTACCCACATGGCAGCAAACAACTGTCCATAACTTCAGTTCTAGGAGATATAACACTCTCTTCTGTCCTCTGCAAGCACTGCACAATATGGGTGCACTTACATACATGAAGACATAAAGCTCATACACATAAAAATAAAACTTAATTAATTAAATGTGACCACTCATAGTGTTGGACTTTTGCTCTAGGAAGTTGTGATGGGTAGAAAGTAAATTAGTTCAAGTTCAGCTCTAGAGCTCTGTGTGTGTTTGATTTTGCTGTTTCTGCATCTAAAAAGTGAAATGAAAGGATAGAGACTGAAGAGATAGCTCAGATGTAAGAGCACTTGCTTCTCTTGCAGGGGACCTAGGCTTGGTTCCCAGAAACCACATGGTGGCTCACAACAGTCTGTAACTTCAGTTTCAGGAGATCTGGGGCCCTCTTCTGGTCTTTATGGGTACCAAGCATGCACATGGTACACATACATACATGTAGGTAAAACACTCATACATATAACATTAAAATAAATAATCTTTAAAAAAATGGTCAAACTAATAAAGTTCATGTTACACATATCAAAAATAAATAAATAAATAAATAAATAAATAAATAAATAAATAAATAAGAGGTTTTACAGTCAGGTAAAGTTTTTAAAATTGTACCCAGACCCAGTGTGCTAGGAATAGTCAGGCACCATGGATCTGAAGTGTTCTAGATTCTGTGGTGTAGTGGATGGGGCTTGAGCCTGGACTAAATCTTTTCCCTTTGGGGGCCTCAGTCCCTTGATCCTAAAAATGAAGCTTTAGTGCTAGCTGGTCTGCAGGATTGCCTCAAAGCCTTGGCAATTTGTTCAAACCTGACTTCTGCCCCTGTCAAGTTGACTTGGAATACTTATTTGGACACCTTTATTTTCTCTGTCGAAGAAGCACTTTTCCATACATATTCTTAATAGTAAGACAATCTCTGGGATTATCCATGGCCCAGGTCCCTCCTAGTGACCCAGCCTTGCCTTGGAAATCAGCTGTTTGCTGGAATAAGCAAGTTGGGGCAGAGTAGCTCTCTCTGGCTAGGAATCTGCCAGCTGGGGCATAGCAAGAGCCCTGAAATGGCAGGAGCCCAGGAAAGCCATTAGATACAGCAAAATATGCCTTGGGGCAGCTACATAAGGCCTGTCTAGGTCACCATCCTCCCTCCCTGTTCAGACTTCCCCTGGTCCCTTTGATGTTATTTAAGGCCACAGCCACCTCTGTGGGTTGGCTTCATATACTTAAATACTGGCAGGCACCCCTTTGATGACCCAAGCTTCCAAAAGGCCTATGTGTAGACATGGTCTGAACTGACTCATTTACCTTCCCAATCATCAGCTATCTCATTTTCCCACTTCAAATTACCATATTCTGGGGCTGGAGAAATGGCTCAGTGGTTAATAACTTTTCCAGAGGACCCCAATTCAGTTCCCAGCACCCAGGTTGGACATCTCATAATCATCCATCTCTAGCTCCAGGGGACCTGATGCCCTCTTCTGGCCTCCATGGACACCAGCACTCATGTGGCATATACTCACTCAAACATGTATACATAAATTAAAAAAAATAAAAGGAATCTGTAAAATGCTGTATTCAACTGGTCATAGTGGCACATACCTTTAATTCCAGCACTCAGGAGGCAGAGGCAGGAGGATCTCTGTGAGATTGAAGCTAACCTGGTCTACATGGTCTACATAACAAGTTCCAGGCCAGACAGAGCTACAAGGAGATCCTATCTCAAAAAGCCAAACAAACAAACATATTCTAGAACACACAAAATGGCTAAAAATAAAATGAGTTACAGAGGCGCTGGTCCCCGGCACGAAGAAGCGATACCGTAGGAATGTTGATACTGAAGGTCAGTTTCCCTGATAAAACACGGCTGTCTATTTATGTACAGACTGAAGTAATAGAGGCAAGGCCTTCTGGGTTTACCCAGCATGTTTTTGACATCACAGCATCCTTTTTTCATTTTTATGTCCCACACTACATGCAGCTCCTTCTTCTGTCTGGCAATACCTTTTCAGGTACGAGGGATGAATATTCAGGAGGGGCGCTCCATGTAGGAACTACCATGGGCAAAGCCTTACTGGAAGGTCAGGCCCTTGCAAGGTTGATGACCATGCTCAGCTTCCTAGTAGTAGAGTCAGCCTCAACCTGTGCCTCAGTTTCCATATATGGGGATGCCACAAACATGGATTTTTGCCTGTGATGTTTGCAGATGTCTCCTTGTGTCTATAATGGCACCTGGCATGTAGTCTGTGCTCAGTCATCCATAAGTCACACACAGTTCAATCTAGATAGTGGCTGAGAGTAGGTCTGTCCCCTGATTGCTGGACCAGTATCTCATGGCTCAATGGAAATCAGCATTTCATCAAGTCAGTGGCTTCTAGTTACGTCCTACAGGTCTACTGTGATGCTTGCATGTCAGAACTCCATCCTGGACATGGTAAAGCTAACTGTTGACATACATGTTGGCAGCTCTGTTGGTACCTCATGATGGCCTTTAAATCAGGAAGAGCTGTGGGGTCTTGATGCATCACTGGGAAGATGAAAGACATCCTGGATCCTGACCAGTTCTAGGTCACTGGCTGCAGGCTTCTGTCTAAGGAGGACTTGAAGTGGACTGTCTGTACTGTGTGAAATGTGCATGGGATTTCTTTGTAACTGTGGGGCTGGGTGGTCTTGCAGCTGTGTTTCTTTGTTGACATCTTGACCCCTCATTTATTGGCAGGTCTGAACTACGTTCTGACGGCTGATGTGGCCCAAAAGGAGAAGGGCCAGCTGCCTAGGGTCTATTTTGTGTTGCTGGGAGAGACTGTAGGCCAGGTCTCAGAGAAGCTGCAGCTGACCCACATGGAGGAGACGTGTCGTCACTACGTGGCCCATGTCAAGGTCAGTCCCTCAAATTCTGATCCCTGGAGATATTCATTCGGAGCTAGTGGAAACAGCTTTTATAGTACATTATGTTTCCTCTGACTTCCAAAGTTCTGGTTTACAAGGAGAACATGAATTTCTTCTTTTAAAAGTTAAAATCTGATGGTCCTCTTATTTATCTTTTATTATTGTGTTAGGGGGTGGTGCTCACATGCCACAGTGTGCATGTAGAGGTCAGAGGACAACTTTGATGAGTCAATACTCTCCGTTCATGGAAACCTTTACATGGGTTCTGGAGATCAAAGTTAAGTCATCAGGCTTACATGACTAGTACTTTACCTGCTGACCCATCTCATTTGTTCGCTCTTATTTACCATGGCTTCTGAGGCTCTTCTCTGAGACACTACTGAGGCTTGAAGAGAGGAGAGCATGCGAAACATCCCCAAAGGACAATGCACAGTCAGGAACTATCATGGGTCTTCTGGTACTCACTAACCCTTCTTAGAGGTTGAGACCAGTAAAATAAGGGACATCAGACTGTACCACGCTTGATGCCTTTCTCAGTGGTCCATGACATGTCCAATTAGCCTCATAGTCAGAGGTGATGCATTTTAAAACTGGCTGGACCACATTTCTCTTGCTTAGTTACTTTCTGCTTGTTTTAGGAGTGCATTTTTGAGGCCTCTTTCCTCTCTTCAAATAAACTTTCAAATGTTTTTCTCCTCTTGAAGTTATTTGCTAAATACACTTTGCTGCTAATTCAGGAGGTCAAGCTTCAATCAGTGGCCAAATTACTGCTGTGCATGGTGGGAGTCCTGGCTGTACTTGGTGACTACAGAAACGGTAGCCATTGGCTGGCCCACAAGCAGAGCTAGAAAGCAAAGGAGGCAGATGGACTGCATAATCTTGGTTGGGTAGTGGTTGCAGTGCCTGGGGAGGTTGGCATTACACAAACCTGGTCTGAATCTAGCTTGGTAAGCACTATATGTGTCTCAGAATCTCTAAAATTCACACACTAATACTTACTTTGAAATATAAGAATTCAACATTGCCCAGGGCTTGGTGACACATGTCAATAATCCAAGAACTGAGGAAGAAGAGGCAGGAAGACCAGCCTGGGGTGTCTGTGGAGTTCCAGGCCAGGCTGGACTACATAATCAGACCCTGTCTTAGAAAACAAACAAAAAGTAGACATTGCACAGTGAATATACTTTAAAAACTTTGCCTGGAGTCTGATAGAGGTACTCAGTATTACGGTTATTTGGGTGAGTGATACATAATTTCCAACATTTTAACATTCTTGACTTTCATAAATGGCAACTTCATGTCGTCTAACCTAGAATTATTAGCCAGTGTATTTCTACCAGATAGTAGTCTGGATATCGGAGTATGTTTCCACTGTTGTCTTAGGTCAGAGTCCAATAGTGACAGCTGCCTCTAGGCTGACTATAGAGAATTACCTCCATGTCTGTGGCACGTGGTCTGGCCTGGAGCCCATGAGTCCATGCCATGAGATGCTTTGCAATGAGACTGGGCTCCACCTTCTGCCAGCACACATGTCGGGGCCTGCCCAGACCAGCTGCCTTTCAAGTGGACTGCTGGCCACTTATAAAGATGTGCATGTTCCTGTGATGCCTACCCAGCCCCTTTTGGTCTTAAATTCTTGCTGCTTGTGACTGTCCTCAGGACAGGCTCACATGCAAATCCCATGAGCTATCAAGTGCCTGTGCATGGCATGTGCTAAGGATGGGGCATCCTTCCTTGTTCATGCTAGATCTACTCCACAAATACCTTCCTTTGATGCTCTTTGCAGTTTTTTGCTTTGGCTGAGAATTTGTGTTTTGTTTATAGCAATTGGACCTCTCCATGACAGAGAACCTGCTGCAGGACTTGAATCGTGCAGTCAGGAAACAGCAATAGTGAGGTAGAGGCTGGTACAGGGATGCTCCTGTGATAGCCTCTGAGAGTTCCTGAGGAAGAGGAAGGCTGCCCCAGGGTGGGTCCAGCCACTTCCTGTTATCAGTACTTGCTGTATTGGCAAATAGAGACATGCAATTTCCCATTAAATTTGGATTTTATATACACCAATTCTTAGAAAGTGGCTTCACTTTCTGGGGTCTGTTTCTAAAGATCCCTGAGACCCAAAAGCATTCTATGGAAAAATTTCAAAAATAAACAATTCACAAATGTTAAGTAGTTTTGATTACAGGATATTGCTATCATGGTTCTATTTTACTATGAATTGTTAATAATCTCTTACCGTGCCTAACTTACATAGAACTTTATTTTATATATATATATATGTATGTAAAGAGAAAAATGAGGTTTGATATCTGCAGTTTCATATAGCCACAGAATATCTCTGAACATATCCTGTGCAGATAAACAGAGACTCAGCAGATCCCAAATATTATTGTATTTCTGATGGTTGATAGTAGTGACTAATTTGACAAGATCTAGAATCACCTAGAAGGCAAGCTTCCAGGCATACCTCTGAGGGGAGTATGATTAGGTTAATTGGCAGGGGAAGACCCACTGTAAAATTGGGCAGCACCATTCCCTGGGCTGGAATCCTGGACTGCAGAAAAAAATAGGAGAAAGTAAGCTGAGCCCCAGCATTCATCTCTCTCTGCTTCCTTACTATGGATGCCGTGTGAGCAGCTGCCTCAAGTTCCTGCTGCCAGGACTTTGCCACCATGATGGATTAGACCTATAAACTGTAATCCACAATAAACCCTTCCCCTTTAAGTTTGTTTTTAGTCAGATACTCTGTCACAGCAATGAGTAAGGTAGCCGATTCAGATGTATACTAAGATTGTGTGTGTGTGTGTGTGTGTGTGTGTGTGTGTGTGTGTGACATCATCTTACTTTATAGCCCAGGCTGACTTGAAACTCAACCATGTAGCACAGATTTGCCTTAAACTCAGGACAGTCCTCCTACCTCAGCATCCTGAGTGCTAGGATTGCAGGCATGAGCCACCACATTCCACTTTTAACTTGGCATCCCATTGGTAGACTCAACTCTACTGACTCTTGCAGCAAACTGTTTGCCCATAGCAGGACTTCTGCGCTTAATCAAAACCTGGCTGACCAGAAGAGAGAGATTGAGATGGTGGTGAGAACAGTTTGCAGAGTGAGAACAGGGCTCCCAAGTGGGATTATTAGAACCATTTCTGAACAGCAAGCATGCAAACAGTTCTGCTTCAGTGGTTGGGTACTTTATTATTGTTTGGCTGTTTTCATGCAGGGAGATGAAGTAAGGAGAGGGGGGATATACCAGGATGAGACATAATTAGGAGGCCATTATGGTTCAAGAGCCAACATTGTTCAGGGATGCTCAAGGTAGCTAATATTCATTAGCTATTAGGAAAGCTTTTTTCTACCAGTTACTGTCTGGGCCTTGCTAGAGGATCTGGGTGAATGGTGCAGTGAGGGCGAATGTTAATAAGTCGCTAGCTGTGCAGTGTGGCACAGCTGGCCAAAGAGATCACAGGCCTGGCCTGCGGTTTACAGGGTTGTGGGAAAACAGCTGTGAAGGCTGTGGCTTATGTGGGGTCTCAGCCAGGCAACAGGGTGGGGGAGGGATGTGACAGTGATCACTTCCCAGCCGGGGACTGGGGACTGAGAGTTGTGAGTCAGGGATGAAGAGTATAACAGTCTCTACTGCAAGGGGCCGGCTTAGCTTTGTAGACAAGTCATGGAAGATAAATACAAACGTTCTGCCTTATCACACACCATATGGCCAGCAGACAGTGAGGCAGGCACTGCAGCCGAGTGTGTTTTGTTTAGGCTATCTTTAGGCTTTTTTTTTTTTTTTTTTTTTTTCCTGTTTGTCTTTAAGCCTGTTCCAATCCTTTTTTTTGTTTTCTTTTCTTTTCTCCCCTATAAGTTTTCAATCCATATATGGTGATGTTATCTACTGTTGAGGTCTGCTTGGATCAACACCTGCCTACTGAGCTAGCTGTGTTGTACCAGCCTTTATTCCTGGAGGGACCTTTGGGGGATACAGTTTTGTGATGAGCCACATCCTCCTTCTCAGAGCCTGGTCAGTGGTGCTGAAGCTGTTCCAGTCACTTCCTTGGCCTCTCACCAGACACTGTGCACTTCACTTATCTCCCCCACTCCTCCCTCAAACCAGCTCAGATCTTGAGGCAGACCCCCTTCTACTGGTCAAGCGGTCTGGAGGTCTCTAATAGAATCCTTGGTCACAGGTAAAAGCCATACCACCTCCTTTCAGCCTCAAGACTCAACCACTTTATCTTTTTAGTTTTATTTTTTCACAAGCATGTTTCAAGTGCTCTCTTATTAAAAAATATTTTATTTATGATTTTTTTATCATTTTTTAATTTTTAATAACTACATGGTTAGAAGAAGCATTTCACTACAGATTTAACATATTCAGTAACATACTCCAGAGCAAGAATACATCCCTTTCACAAGTAGGTGCAAGTTTCTAGGTTCCCAGTTGAATTAATACACTTATACAATATTGAATTCTGTATAAACCCTGTAAGACATAAAGTTGAATGAAGTTTTAACCTTTAAAAAATATCCCCATTTCATTTTAGAATATATTGTTCCTTTCAGAAAGACTCATTGATTTTGCTACTAATACTGAGATGTTGGCACATGCATCTCTAATATGTATGTATCTGATTATTGCTATACATAATCGGTTGTACTTGGATTCTTGGTGCCTGTGTATGTCTATAAAGTCATCAGGTAGATTTCAATGGTAA